CTTAGCACAGGAATGGATGAATTTATGTTCTATTATCAGAGTTGCTGTAGCGACAATCTGTCCTAGGGTCACATCTTCTACAACTGTAACATAATAGTCCCCAGATTTCCTCATACGCTCAAAAGATTTCATAAATTGCTCAGGGTTGACAACTCCAGTCTCTGTCAGCTGGCCCAGTACTTTAAAAAAACCATTTTCTCATGGTGAATTGGAGATGAGTGTCTCACTGCCTTTCCTGCCCAGACTAGCTTTGAAAATGCAGTCCTCAGATCTCAGCCTCCTGAGTAGCTAGGATTACAGGCCTAGGTCACCAGCACCTGGCTCTATTTAAGTCAGCAGTACAAAGAGGCCTCAAAACCAAGCCTTCTCCAGGGTGTGTTGGAGAAATAGCTGGAGAAAATGTAGCTGTATTCTGACTCCAGTCCACTTCTTTGAGTAGACTTGGGTCAAACATAGGAGTGTCATCAGGTTTCATCTTTCCAGTACGACCCGCCGCCGGGCCCCGCAGTCGGCGCTCCCCTCCAGGCGCGTCGGACGCTTCCCCCTCCGGGCTCCACAGCACCGGATCCGGATCTGGATCCGGCTGCAGAGGCAGCGCCACCTCCACCGGCGCCACAGCCGGGAACCGTCCTTTCATGATACTTTAAAATGTCATATTTCTCACCATGAATATATGAAATTATTTTGTGCCAGTACTGGAACTTGAACTCAGGGCCTGGGCGCTGTTTCTTAGCCAGCTGGTATTCTACCATTTGAACCACACCTCCACTTCCAACTTTCTGCTGGCTAGAGATTAGAGTCTCCCAGACTTTATCAAGGCTGGCTTTGAAACTTGATCTGCAGATCTCAGTCTCCTGTGTAGCTAGTATTATAGATGTGAGCTACCAACACCTAATAATACATGCAATTTGTATTCATCAATTAAAAACATTTAATATATATAACAAAAAACAATCCAGGACTTTCTCCTGTGCCTCTGCTCTGGGGACTCATCTCTCATCCTTACAAATGTCTGCTGCCTTTTGACAGATAAGGCCACTGAGGCTGAGCAGCTCTGCTCTGTGGTGGAGTGAACTTTGGCCCTGTGTGCTTTCAGCTCAGCCCATAACTGAGGGACCTGGAGGGAGCTGATGAGAGGCCATTTACAAGGCTGTTAAATGGCCGGGAGCACCCAGCAGACTGCCAAGGCCACACTTGCACTGGTCCAGATCAGCACGACGTGTGTTCAGCAGCTCAGGGCCAGCAGCAGAAAGAGCGAGAGATGATTGATCTCCCAGGACTGCTATTCTGCTAAGCAAGGCAAGGAAGACTTGGAGGTTGTTGCCCAATGGGAGACCAAGGAATCAGAGGCGGGTCAAGAGCCTTTGGTGCTGGCCAAGCTTCAGGATCCCTGGGGAGCTTCACAAGTGGTTAACTACCTGGCCCTAGGACATCAACTAATTTGATGCTAATTAACCTAAGGTGGAACTGGGACCTGGCTGGCTTCTGGGGTGCCCCCGGTGACTGGAATAAGCAGTCAGAACTAAGCATTGTTCAAAGCTGCAGTCTCTAGTTGGCCTTTGTTAGCATCAGAAACCCTAGGTGTTTCTTAGAAATGCACATTCAGGCAAGACACTGGTGGATCCTACCTGTAATCCTAGCTTCTCAGGAGGCTGAGATCTGAGGATTGTGGTTGGAAGCCAGACTGTACTAAAAAAATCTGTAAGACTCCATTCTCCAATGCACTAGCAAGGAAAAAAAAAGTTTTATTGAAGTATTAAAATGCTATCTGTTAGTAAGAAACCTGAGCAGAAGCATGAGGCCCTGGATTCAAGCCCTGGTATCTCCAGACCTGATGAATCAGAACATACTTGTATTTGTGCATGTCATCTGGGAGACTCCAGTGTACTCTAAGGTTTGAGAACCACTGGCCTAAAAGAGATGTATAGACTTAAGGCACTCAGAGCTGATCAAGGGGTGTTAGAAAGGACCAAGATAAGGACTGGGCAGCGTGGCTCATATTTGTAATCCCAGCTACTGGATAGGTAGAGGTAGGAAGATAAGGTCCAAGGCCAGCCTGGCAAAAGCATGAGACCCTGGAAGTGGAGCTATGGCTCCAGTGATACAATGCCGGCCTTGAGCCAAAAAACTAAGGAATAGTTGCCAAGCCCTAAGTTTAAACCATAGTACACACACACACACTCACGCACACACACACACACACACACACACACACACACAGTGCTCGAGACTCTATGAAGAGGGCAGTAGATGAAGATCCACATCGCTGGTGTTTGGAGGCCCAGGGCCTGGGAAAGGTGGCCTGCAGCGCTGGCTCCTTCGCAGACGATGATGGAATTCAGGGGATGTGGGACTTACCACAGGCAGAAGGGAGGAGCCCAGGATACAGACATGGGGAGGTGCAGGAGGGAAGAGGGTGGCAGGGACTGGAATGCCAGATGCAAATGCTGTGGGAAGCATTTATGGAGTGAGGAAGGGCTGAGAAACTGATTTGAGGAGCAGGGGTAGTAGCCATCTTGCTGTGGGCCCTGGATCCTGAGGAATCCTTCCCATGTCAGGGAAAGCCTGGCTGCTCAGGTGACCAGAAGGGTCTCAGGGGGTGTTGCTCAGAGCTGAGAGAGTGAACCCTGGCCACATCCCACCCCAGGCATGCTGTGTGGCGCTGAGAGTTAGGTAGCTCTGTTTCTTCACCCGTAAGAGAAAGGGATGACACCAGGTCCTCAGCTGTGATCTGATACTTAGAAGGCTCACTGAGCTCCCAGGTTCTTTGCTCTTCTGAGGTTGCTACTAGTCTATTTTCCAGGCCGCCTCCTCTTCCCTGCACCCTACGCTTACTATCTAGGGTATAAAATTCTCACTTTATATGGAACCAACCCAGATGCCCCTCAGTAGATGAATAGATTAAGAAATTGATATACATATATATATATATATATATATATATATATACACACACACACAATAGAATTCTATGCCTCCATCAGAAAGAATGGCATTGCCCCATTTGTTAGGAAATGGAAAGGCTTGGAAAAAATTATATGAAGTGAAGTAAACCAGGCCCAAAGAAACATAGGTCCCATGGTTTCCCTTATTTGCAATAACTAGTATATGTCTGAGACAAGCAGAAGAGGTCAGATAAATTGATGTTAGGTGAAATGAACCCTAAGATATGTATTCAAATGTTTTTTTCTTTCTTGCAATTGTTTCTAACATATTTATAAGATGATTTCTTTGTTGCTTTGTATGTCCCTCCCCCACAGTATAACCCCTGTTTTCACTGTAGTTGATGTTGGTATAATTTGTGGAGGGGAAGGGCAAAAACAAATCGCTTAAATAGGGATACAGGTGGACCCATTGCAACAATGAGATGTACAAGTCGTTATGTTAAAAACGAACTTTACAACTTTGGCTGGGGGGTGGTGGGGGGAGAAAATGGGGTGTGGCTGCAGCCGGGGATGGGAAGGGATGGGCAGGGGAAACAAAGGAGGAGGCAACAATGCTTGATAAGAAACGTACTCATTATCTTTCCCATGTAATTGCAACCCCTCTGTATAGTATTTTCACAATAAAATTTTTTTTTAATTCTCACTTTTTTTTTTTAATCGGTTGTGGGGCTTAAACTCTGGGCCTGGGCGCTGTCCCTGCACTCTTCAGCTCAAAGCTAGCATTCTACTACTTGAGCCACAGTGCTACTTCTGGTTTTCTGGTGGTTTATTGGAGATAAGAGTCTCATGAACTTTCCTGCCAGGGCTGGCTTTGAACTGTAATCCTCAGCTTTCAGCCTACTGTGTAGCTAAGATTACAGGCTTGAGCCACCAACACCTGGCTTAGAATTCTCACTTTGTAGAAACAATTGTTTATATGTGTATATGTGCTTATTTTTAAATTTTCTTTAAGTAGTTGCACAAAGGGGTTTCGATTGGCTGTGTCAGTTTGTGAGTACTATGCCTCGTTTTGTTTTTTGTGTTTTTGTGTTTTTGTTTTGTTTTCAGGAGAACCAACAGTTCTTCATGCGGGCAGCCCGCTGCCCATTCAGCTATGTTCCTGTGCATCCAGCAGGCTTTCTCTGGTGCCTTCTAAGTACTCAAGAAGGCAAAGGTGGGCCCCAACATGCTGAGTTTTACTACTGTTCCCTCCATGTGAGTGTCACCCACCTTCCTCTCTTTCTTTTTCTTTTTTTTTTTGGGGGGGGGGGGGGGGCCCGGGCCTGGGGCCTGAACCCTGGGCCTGGGTGCTGTCCCTCAGCTCTTCAGCTCAAGGCTAGCGCTCTACCACTTGAGCCACAGCGCCACTTCCAGCTTTTTTCATTTTCGCTTATGTGGTGCTGAGGAATCGAACCCAGGGCCTCAGGCATGCAAGGCAAGCGCTCTACCACTGAGCCACCTTCCCAGCCCACCTTCCTCTCTTTCTTTGTCCATCACCACTAGGCCTCCCAAGAAGCAGTCCCAGGACCTTAGAGCCCTGAGTCCTGAAGGAATGCGGGGTCCTTTACCCAACACGGCCTGTGACCCTGGGTCACTGCCTTCTCCGCCCTGGCTTCTTCCTTCCTTCCTCAGACTTCCTGGTCTGACTTCCTTAAGGAGGTGGAAGAAGGGAGGATGGGGGCATGTGGAGTGCTGATACAAAGGCCTGGATAGGCAGATGGTCGTGGCCCCAGCTACTCGGGAGGCTGAGACTGGGGGATGGCAGTGTAAAGCTAGCCGCAACAGAAAAGTCCATGAGACTCAATCTTCAATTAACTAGCAAAAATGCCAGACTGGAGGAATGGCTCAGGGCCAGAGTGCCAAATGTGAATGAAAAAGCCCTGAGTTCAAACACCAGTACTGATGCACATGTGGAAAGAAGGGGAGGGGTAAGGGGAAATGGGGGGGGGAGGGAGGGAGAGAGGGAGAGAGAAGCTTGGATAGTCTTTCCCTGGGCCAGGGCTCAGGGCCTCCACATTTAACCCTGGCATGTGGCATGTCACTAAGATACTGATCATATAGAATCAGGAGTGAAAAGGAAGGGAATTGATGGAAGTTTTGGTTTAGTTAAAAGGAAAGGAGGCTGGGTGCTGGTGGCTGTACTCAGGAGGCTGAGATCCGAGTAATCGGACTTTGGAGCCAGCCTGGGTAGTCTGAGACTATTATTTCCAATTAACCAGCAAAAAGCCAGGAGTGGAGTGTGGTTCAAGTCGTAGAGCACCAGCTGTGAGTGAAAAAGTCAAGGAAGGATGTGAGGCTCTGAGATCAAGCCTCAGCACCAGAACAGAAGAAAAATAAACAAATAGATAAGTAAAAGCAAATTGAGAAGGGAGGAAATAAATGTACAGGAAGTGCCCACATAGACATCCATGTTGGTTGGAGTGCCCCCCAGTGGTTGACCTGGGGAAGTACAGCCTTCCCACGCCATATATCAGCCACAAGGAGTTGCAGGAAATGGAGACTCAATTTCCCGGAACTGGGAGATCCCTCTGCCTCTCTCCTTGCACAGACCTGCAGCTAAAATAAGGTCCCGGAAGGCCTCGTGCATACCAGGGCCTGCTGGATCTCACCTGTAACCAGAGGCTGCGGTCCGCTCTGCAGCTGCAGGCTCCATCTACATGAGAGGAATCCTCCCAGGGTCTACCTTTCCTTGCCATTCAGCCATCTTTCTTCC